ACCACGTCCTATACATCAGTAAGGATACAAGGGAGGTAAACACGTCCTATACATCAGTAAGGATACAAGGGAGGTAAACACGTCCTATACATCAGTAAGGATACAAGGGAGTTAACCACGTCCTATACATCAGTAAGGATACAAGGGAGGTAAACACGTCCTATACATCAGTAAGGATACAAGGGAGATATACATGTCCTATACATCAGTAAGGATACAAGGGAGGTAAACACGTCCTATACATCAATAAGGATACAAGGGAGGTAACCACGTCCTATACATCAGTAAGGATACAAGGGAGATATACATGTCCTATACATCAATAAGGATACAAGGAAGGTAACCACGTCCTATACATCAGTAAGGATACAAGGGAGGTAAACACGTCCTATACATCAGTAAGGATACAAGGAAGATATATATGTCCTATACATCAGAAAGGATACAAGGGAGGTAAACACGTCCTATACATCAGTAAGGATACAAGGGAGGTAAACACGTCCTATACATCAGTAAGGATACAAGGGAGATATACATGTCCTATACATCAGTAAGGATACAAGGGAGGTAAACACGTCCTATACATCAGTAAGGAAACAAGGGAGATATACATGTCCTATACATCAGAAAGGATACAAGGGAGGTAACCACGTCCTATACATCAGTAAGGATACAAGTGAGGTAACCACGTCCTATACATCAGTAAGGATACAAGGGAGGTAAACACGTCCTATACATCAGTAAGGATACAAGGGAGATATACATGTCCTATACATCAGTAAGGATACAAGGGAGGTAAACACGTCCTATACATCAGTAAGGATACAAGGGAGATATATATGTCCTATACATCAGAAAGGATACAAGGGAGGTAAACACGTCCTATACATCAGTAAGGATACAAGGGAGATATACATGTCCTATACATCAGAAAGGATACAAGGGAGATATACATGTCCTATACATCAGTAAGGATACAAGGGAGTTAAACATGTCCTATACATCAGTAAGGATACAAGGGAGATATACATGTCCTATACATCAATAAGGATACAAGGGAGGTAACCACGTCCTATACATCAGTAGGATACAAGGGAGATATACACGTCCTATACATCAGTAAGGATACAAGGGAGGTAACAACGTCCTATACATCAGTAAGGATACAAGGGAGGTAACCAGGTCCTATACATCAGTAAATATACAAGGGAGGTAACCACGTCCTTTACATCAGTAAGGATACAAGGGAAATATACACGTCCTATACACGTCCTATACATCAGTAAGGATACAAGGGAGATATACCTCCCCGCTGTCAGTGTGGTCGGTCACTCACTGATCAGAGTAAGAACTATGTACCTCCCCGCTGTCAGTGTGGTCGGTCACTCACTGATCAGAGTAAGGAATGTTTACCTCCCCGCTGTCAGTGTGGTCGGTCACTCACTGATCAGAGTAAGGAATGTCTACCTCCCCGCTGTCAGTGTGGTTGGTCACTTACTGATCAGAGAAAGAATTATGTACCTCCCCGCTGTCAGTGTGGTCGGTCACTCACTGATCAGAGTAAGGAATGTCTACCTCCCCGCTGTCAGTGTGGTCGGTCACTCACTGACCAGAGTAAGAACTATCTACCTCCCAGCTGTCAATGTGGTCTTTTTTCACTTTGTTGATATCAATATTTAAATTCATTATATAATTGATCCTTCTAATTATATACAAGGTAATCATTTAGCTACAAAAACACATTCATAAGAGTTAAATATCAAATAATACTGGTCATGGGCTGCAGTGGAAGGAGTGGTGTTGGTCACTGGCGGTGGTGGTGGTGGTCACGGGCGGTGGTAGTGGGATGGGCCCGGGCTGCAATAATAGGGGTGGTGGTGGTGGTGGCGGCGGCGGCGGCGTTGGCGGTGATGGTGGCGGTGGCGGTGGTGGTGATGATGGTGGTGGTCACAGACGGCAGTGGAAAGGGTTGGTGGTCACGGACGGCGGTGGTAGGTGTGGTCACGGGAGGCAGTAGTAGGGTTGGTTGTGGTGGTCACTGGCGGTGATGGTTGTGGTGGTCACGGGCGGCAGTGGAAGGGGTGGTGGTCACGGGCGGCTGTGGTGGTGGTGGTCACGGGCTCCGGTGATAGGGATAATGGTTGTCACGGGCGATGGTGTTGGTGGTCACGGGCGGCGGCGGTGGTGGTCACGGGCTCCGGTGATAGGGATGGTGGTGGTCACGGGCGATGGTGTTGGTGGTCACGGGCGGCAGTGGTAGTGCTGGTGGTCACGGGCGGCTGTGGTAGTAATGGGCTCCGGTGATAGGGATGATGGTGGTCACGGACGATGGTGTTGGTGGTCACGGGCAGCGGTGGTGGTGGTTACTGGCGGTGGTGGTGGTGGTTACTGGCGATGGTGTTGGTGGTCACGGGTGGCAGTGGTAGTGCTGGTGGTCACGGGCGGCTGTGGTAGTGGTAGTAATGGCTCCGGTGATAGGGATGATGGTGGTCACGGGCGGCGGTGGTGGTGGTTACTGGCGGTGGTGGTAGGGGTGGGCAAGGGTGGTGATGGTGGTGGTCACGGGCGGCAGTGGTAGGGTTGGTGATGGTGGTCATTCAGGGCAGTGGTAGGGGTGATGGCCACGGGCGACGGTGGTGGTAATGGTCACGGGCTGCAGTGAAAGGGGATGATGGTGGTCATGTGCGATGGTGTTGGTGGTCACCGGCGGCGGTGGTGGTGGTTACTGGCGGCGATGGTAGGGGTGGGCAAGGGTGGTGATGGTCACGGGCGGCATTGATAGGGTTGGTGGTGGTGGTCATTGAGGGCAGTGGTAGGGGTGATGGTCACGGGCGACGGTTGTGGTAATGGTCACGGGCTGCAGTGAAAGGGGATGATGGTGGTCATGGGCGATGGTGTTGGTGGTCACGAGCGGCGGTGGTGATGGTGGTGGTGGTTACTGGCGGCGGTGATAGGGGTGGGTAAGGGTGGTGATGGTTGTGGTCACGGACGACAGTGGTAGGGGTAGGTAAGGGTGGTGATGGTGGTGATGGTGGTGATGGTGGTGATGGTGATGGTCACGGTCGGCATTGGTAGGGTTGTTGATGGTGGTCATAAAGGGCAGTGGTAGGGGTGGTGGTCACGGGCGGCGGTGGTGGTAGTGGTCATGGGCTGCAGTGATAGGGATGATGGTGGTCATGGGCGATGGTGATGGTAGTCATGGGGGGCGGTGGTGGTGGTCAATGGCGGCGGTGGTAGGGGTGGGCAAGGGTGGGCAAGGGTGAACAAGGGTGGTGATGGTGGTGGTCACGGGCGGCATTGGTAAGTTTGGTGGTGGTGGTCACGGGCGGTAGTGGTAGGGGTTGGTGGTCACGGACAGCGTTGGTAGGGGTGGTTACGGACGGCAGCATTAGGGTTAGTGGTGGTGATCATGGAGGGCAGATGGTATTGGTGGTCACGGGCGGCGGTGGTGGTGCTAACTGGCGGCAGTGTTAGTGGTGGTGGTCACGGGCGGCAGCGGTGGTGGTGGTGGTCACGGGCGGCAGTGGTAGGGGTGGTGACCGTGGTGTCGGATTGAAGACGACTTAATTTATTTTCTAATAAATGTCACATTTACCTATTTACCATGGTGTGCATAAATCTATGTATTTAAACCAGAAACCTCATAGTGCCTGAAGATGCGTTGAACAAGATATCTTCAGCCGGCTGAAATATTCTATGCACTATACGTTATCATGTGACAGACTGTGACGTAATATGATGATGAAATGATGTGATTTTTTTTTACTCGTGTCGTCATTAAAGAGACAATTAGGTAAAAATAACACGACATAAGTGTGTCCTGCAATATTTTAAGGGAAAAATAATATGGAGATAAATATGTTTTATTCATTGTATGAAATTCGTGTAAAAGTTCCAACTCGCTGAAGGCTCGACGAAAGAATGATAACACAGAGTTGTCATAAAATGTAATACTAATAATATACATTTCATTATTCATTGGGGTTAGCTGTAATATGCTTTCAGTGACGTCATAAACATGGTGACGTCGCCATGAAAATGTCGCTAATTTAGATTTTGTACCCGTTATGTCACATGTTTTCTCGGGCATGGTAGTTTTGTGTTGTATAGATATGGATGTGATGAACAGAAATTTACGTGTCTGACTATTTCATATGAGATAGTGATCGTACTGAATTTCCAATTTGTTCCGCCAGGATTGGTAAAATGAAAAAAAGATGGAAACTCTTGTACTCATCTAAAAAGGAAACTCTGTTCCCCGGTGAAATATTTACATATACCTTTTAAATCCAGGTAATAATTGATGCCCTGCCACTTTCATTTAATCCGTGTTTTTTTCTGCTATGCCAATGTATTCGGTTAGCCCTACTCACACGAGTGGTTGTGACTCCTCTAGCTTATCATTGTTTATTTATTTCACGGGTTTTACGTCCACTATAACGACCCTCTGGTATTCCAGCGGGCGATAATTGTTCTCTAATTATATTACTATTCATACAAATATGATGATATTCTGATTATATTAATCCTGATGTAGACAGAGAGCTCGTTGTGTAAAGTTGCAGCTGCTGAGTGATTTAGTATCCCATCATGTGGATCGGCGCTATGTGAATGAAATGCCGGCTCATTTCATATGCAACTAGTTAGCCATCCCATAATACTCTAGGCAATCGCGACTGTTGGCTGTTCAACATTTCGGCTGTTCCATCAATTGTACAGATGAGCGCATCGGCACCTATTCTCTCGGTGTTTGTCGATTGTAGTACGGAAGGTTAATTTGTCTGATGAAAATAAGTCTTTATTAATTTTATGTGTTAATTGTCATATTCGCAAATTTGATTAACCGGATGTGAGTATTTAACAGGTGCGCGAAAGTGTGGAGAAATCGCTACAGCTTTACAGGGCCTTTCACCACACCCAAGGAAAATAGAAATACCGGAACGAGACTAGAGAAACGTTGTGGACTGGCTAGGCCTGCCGGTACCAGAGAAAGGTTCTACTCTCAAGAATCGGTTTTACAATTTCACATGTGTTGGTTTAAGGACCTAGCCGACTAATTAATTGTCGGTCGGACTAGAGTAGAACGGATAGCAGGGAAAGACTCGGCAATACACACTCTCGTCATGGCGTGTTGTTTGAGTGAAGAAGCGAAGGAGCAAAAACGGATAAATTGCGAAATAGAAAAGGAACTGAGGAAGGCCAAGAGAGATGCCAGACGGGAGTTGAAACTTCTGCTTTTAGGTACGTATAGAACTGTGGAGATTTGTCGATGTATTATACCCCAAAACACGGATATAAACAACCCAGGACTGCTCTGCAATCGATGGTCCACCGGCAGCCATCTTGAATAACTTATGTCGTTCTAAGGGTTTGGTACAGCTGTAAAGAGAAATATCGGCATTTAATTGTGATTTTCTGTTGGTTTTTCCTACATTTGTGGTCTCGGGCAGCCAATGCAGACATGAGACACTGGTTGTATACCGACAGTTTGTGTGTATTGTATGATAGCTGATGTGGGCCGCCATCTTGAAATGAAACATTCGGGTGAATTCATTAGCTCGAGCTGTTTTCATTGAAGAAACTACTTTTCGTGATATATAATGATTTTTTACCCAGTCATTCAAATTTTCAATATTTAAAATCTTCCGTCGCCACTTATATGTCTGTTATTGTTCATGATATATAATATATTCCAAAGGGAAGAAATTGATTTTTTTTACAGAAAATGTTGACATTTGCAATGTATAGTTGGTGTGTATTGGATGTCTGTATGGGCCAGCTTCATGTAGATGTGCATTATGCTATGTGTAGGTGGAATCGTCGATTGCCTTATTTTGTAGAATTACAGTTTGCTTAACAACCTAAGCAGATTACATAGGAAAGCTGATTCTATCAGGACAGGGTTTGTCTGATACACAGCATCATAATTAAAGCTGCTGAGGCAAGTAGTGTCATATTTAAAGATTTTGCTAGAGTGATTTAAAAAAAATCCCAATATCACACAACATCATTAATTACCCCAGATTGTAGTTCCTTGTGTTAATTGTATTTTTGAGATGCTTGTTAAAAATGGAAAAGATGGGCCTGATTGGAACTCTTTTCATTTAATCAGCATGGTAATCGTTATCAGTTTAGTATTATATACATATCAGATATTAGCCTTTCAGAGCTGCTTTCAATTTTATTTGAAAATATTTACCCTTCCTGATTTCTGTGCCCCATGAAACAACATCCAAAAATCAACTTGTGCCACAAAGACAACATACCAGTCAGCTTTTCTTTATGACCCATTGAGTATCAAACAGATATCACAAGCAGAATAGTATGTCCTTGTTATGCCCCATGAAGGTACCATACCCAGAATGCTGAACCCTTTCTCTGTCTCACGAAGACAACACAGCCAAAAAAGTTAGGTAACCCCTCTGATTGAGACAGGATATTGTCATGCACACATCCCTCATGATTTGGACGGGATATTATCCTGGACACATCCCTCATGATTTAGATGGGGTATTATCCTCGACACATCCCCCATGATTTGGACAGCATGTTATCCTGGACACATCCCCTATAATTTGGACAGGTTATTGTCCTGGACACATCCCTCATGATTTGGATGGGATATTGTCCTGGACACATCCCTCATGATATGGACAGGATATTGTCCTGGACACATCCCTCATGATATGGACGGGATATTATCCTAGACACATTCCTCATGATTAGGACGGGATATTATCCTAGACACATTCCTCATGATTAGGACGGGATATTATCCTGGACACATCCCTCATGATTTGGACGGGATATTATCCTGGACACATCCCTCATGATTAGGACAGGATATTATCCTGGACACATCCCTCATGATATGGACGGGATATTATCCTGGACACATCCTTCATGATTAGGACAGGATATTATCCTGGACACATCCCCTATGATTTGGACGGGATATTATCCTGGACACATCCCTCATGATTTGGACAGGTTATTGTCCTGGACACATCCCTCATGATTTGGACGGGATATTATCCTCGACACATCCCTCATGTTATGGACGGGATATTGTCCTGGCCACATCCACCATGATTTGAACGGGATATTGTCCTGGACATATCCCCCATGATTGGACGGGATATTATCCTGGCAACATCCCTCATGATATGGACGAGATATTATCCTGGCCACATCCCTTATCATTAGGATGGGGTATTATCCTGGACACATCCCTCATGATATGGACGGGATATTATCCTGGACACATCCCCTATGATTTGGACGGGATATTGTCCTGGACACATCCCTCATGATTTGGATGGGATATTGTCCTCGACACATCCCTCATGATATGGACGGGATATTGTCCTGGACACATCCCCCATGATTTGGAAGGGATATTATCCTGGACACATCCTTCATGATTGGACGGGATATTATCCTGGCAACATCCCTCATGATATGGACGAGATATTATCCTGGCCACATCCCTCATGATTTGAACGAGATATTATCCTGGACACATCCCTCATGATTAGGACAGGATATTATCCTGGCCACATCCCTCATGATTAGGACAGGATATTAGCCTGGACACGTCCCACATGATTTGGAAGGGACATTGTCCACGACACATCCCTCATGATTAGGACAGGATATTATCCTGGACACATCCCTCATGATTTGGACGGGATATTGTCCTGGACACATCCCTCATGATATGGACGAGATATTATCCTCGACACATCCCTCATGATATGGACGGGATATTATCCTCGACACATCCCTCATGATATGGATGGGATATTATCCTCGACACATCCCTCATGATATGGACGGGATATTATCCTGGACACATCCTTCATGATTTGGACGGGATATTATCCTGGACACATCCCTCATGATTAGGACAGGATATTGTCTGGGCCACATCCCCTGTTATTTGGACCAAAACAGAAATGTTCACCCCCTTTAGGATGAAATAGGTTGATCTGAACATGAGGGGGAAGATTATTAAATGTCACAAGTCTTTGATTATAAGTTGTTGGTTAAGATGAGTTTCAATCTTGATGATATCATAGGATTTTCAGTTTGAGGATAACACATTATTAGTGGTAGACATCCTGGTGTACATGTTTGACCTCATAAAAGTACTTCCACTTTCAGGACACGTCATTGAAGTCCCTGAAATTGTTTTCAGAACATGCAAAGAGCACATGCGCTTGTTTCGAGCCTTGGTTTAGAATAAGGAGTTCTTGCACAGAGAAAAAACCCTTATTTACCCGTTCTTGGTGAGACAAAATACCATACCACACACTGTGATTTTAGGGACCTGGATACTTGAATCCTGGGCTCGTGATTTTCCTGTGGAACTGTGGAATTTTGAGGGGTCAATTTATCTCTTAGTTATTATATAATGGGCCTTGGAATTTTGGAAATGGTGTGTACCATACTTGCCTAAAAGATTCTACCAAAGTCACTGCCTGGACACATCCCCCCTTGCTTCTGAGGGGACGTTTCTTTATTATCCCTGGACTGGAGGTTTTCCTTTTGTTTGGGATATCCCCATTGCTCATTTGGGATATTGTTGTGGACTCGTTACACTTGGTGGGGATATTGTCTTGGACTCATTGCCCTTGGTGGGGATATTGTCTTGGACTCATTGCCCTTGGTGGGGATATTGTCTTGGACTCATTACCCTTGGTGGGGATATTGTCTTGGACTCATTACACTTGGTGGGGATATTGTCTTGGACTCATTACCCTTGGTGGGGATATTGTCTTGGACTCATTGCCCTTGGTGGGGATATTGTCTTGGACTCATTGCCCTTGGTGGGGATATTGTCTTGGACTCATTGCCCTTGGTGGGGATATTGTCTTGGACTCATTGCCCTTGGTGGGGATATTGTCTTGGACTCATTGCCCTTGGTGGGGATATTGTCTTGGACTCATTACACTTGGTGGGGATATTGTCTTGGACTCATTGCCCTTGGTGGGGATATTGTCTTGGACTCATTACCCTTGGTGGGGATATTGTCTTGGACTCATTGCCCTTGGTGGGGATATTGTCTTGGACTCATTGCCCTTGGTGGGGATATTGTCTTGGACTCATTGCCCTTGGTGGGGATATATCATCCTGTTACATAGCCAGGCCTGATAGATTGAACAAAACTTAATAAGAAGTAATTTTGTACATAGGATAGGTCAGCTTGATAAGGTAGATTTTAATAAGATAACAAACCATTACTTTTGTTACACAGTTAACTGGATAACATATTTGGAAAAAAAAAGTTTTTACTTTGATTTGTACCAGAACAAATAGATAAACCCTTGAGATGTTGCTTTTAATATTTGTATATCTTAAGTCCCATACTTTTGTCTTGACTTTCTACAGCTCTTGTACAATATTTAGTACCCAGCTCTTGTACAACATTTAGTCCCCAGCTCTTGTACAACATTTAGAATCAAACTCTGTACAACATTTAGTCCCCAGCTCTTGTACAACATTTAGTCCCCAGCTCTTGTACAATATTTAGTCCCCAGCTCTGTACAACATTTAGTCCCCAGCTCTTGTACAACATTTAGTCCCCAACTCTTGTACAATATTTAGTCCCCAGCTCTTGTACAACATTTAGTACCCAGCTCTTGTACAACATTTAGTCCCCAGCTCTTGTACAATATTTAGTCCCCAGTTCTTGTACAACATTCAGTCCCCAGCTCTTGTACAATATTTAGTCCCCAGCTCATGTATGTTTAGTCCCCAGCTCTTGTACAACATTCAGTCCCCCAGCTCTTGTACAACATTTAGTCCCCAGCTCTTGTACAACATTCAGTCCCCAGCTCTTGTACAACATTTAGTCCCCAGCTCTTGTACAACATTCAGTCCCCAGCTCTTGTACAACATTCAGTCCCCAGCTCTTGTACAACATTTAGTCCCCAGCTCATGTACGTTTAGTCCCCAGCTCTTGTACAACATTCAGTCCCCAGCTCTTGTACAATATTTAGTACCCAGCTCTTGTACAACATTTAGTCCCCAGCTCTTGTACATCATTTAGTCCCCAGCTCTTGTACAACATTCAGTCCCCAGTTCTTGTACAACATTTAGTCCCCAGCTCATGTATGTTTAGTCCCCAGCTCTTGTACAACATTCAGTCCCCAGCTCTTGTACAACATTTAGTACCCAGCTCTTGTACAACATTTAGTCCCCAGCTCTTGTACAACATTTAGTCCCCAGCTCTCCCAGCTCTTGTACAACATTCAGTCCCCAGCTCTTGTACAACATTTAGTCCCCAGCTCTTGTACAACATTCAGTCCCCAGCTCTTGTACAACATTCAGTCCCCAGCTCTTGTACAACATTTAGTCCCCAGCTCATGTACGTTTAGTCCCCAGCTCTTGTACAACATTTAGTACCCAGCTCTTGTACAACATTCAGTCCCCAGCTCTTGTACAACATTTAGTCACCAGCTCTTGTACATCATTTAGTCCCCAGCTCTTGTACAACATTCAGTCCCCAGTTCTTGTACAACATTTAGTACCCAGCTCTTGTACAACATTTAGTCCCCAGCTCTTGTACAACATTTAGTCCCCAGCTCTTGTACAATATTTAGTACCCAGCTCTTGTACAATATTTAGTCCCCAGCTCATGTACGTTCAGTCCCCAGCTCTTGTACAACATTTAGTCCCCAGCTCTTGTAGAACATTTAGTCCCCAGCTCTTGTACAATATTTAGTACCCAGCTCTTGTACAACATTTAGTCCCCAGCTCTTGTACAACATTTAGTCCCTAGTTCTTGTACAATATTTAGTACCCAGCTCTTGTACAATATTTAGTCCCCAGCTCTTGTACAATATTTAGTCCCCAGCTCTTGTAGAACATTTAGTCCCCAGCTCTTGTACAATATTTAGTACCCAGCTCTTGTACAACATTTAGTCCCCAGCTCTTGTACAACATTTAGTCCCCAGTTCTTGTACAATATTTAGTACCCAGCTCTTGTACAATATTTAGTCCCCAGCTCTTGTACAATATTTAGTACCCAGCTCTTGTACATTTTAATACCACAAAGCCAAGTGATACAAAAATTGTTGTTAGAAAAAGTTGTGAATTACCTGTTGTTTTCTGATTATAGGGGCCTAATAAGGAGTCTTGTTTGTGTTATTGGCAATATCTGTTCGTTTCAATAGATGTCACAGTGACTTGGAACAAGTAAGCGACTTGCATTTTTGTCAATGGTGAGATGTAAAACTTATCTGTAATAGATGATAAGACTGAAGTGACTGTTGTGAAATGTGATCATCACATGTTTAACATAAACAAGATCATGGACTTTATTTCATCCTTAAGACATCTAGTTTATATCAGCAGACTGATCGTTGTTTACAGTCCATTGAGAGTACTCATCATTACAGTCTATAATGACTAGCTGCAGGTTCCTTATGTAATCAAGTTACTTGGTCAACAGTGTAAAAAGGTCAAAATGTAAGACTTGAGTCTTTAATATCCTATAACATTAATATGCATTCCCCTGCTAAAGCAAATTTGTTAGACCCATGAATTACTTAATGCTGACTACTTGTCATAGTCTACATTCATATACTGTATGTGGACCCAGGAAACTTGTAGATTTAAACAAACTTCAGATCATATATACAAACCCCTTATCATATACAAGCCTCAGGTCATGTACAAACCTCAGGTCATGTACAAACCTCAGGTCATGTACAGACCTCAGGTCATGTACAGACCTCAGGTCATGTACAAACCTCAGGTCATGTACAGACCTCAGGTCAATACAAACCTCAGGTCATGTACAGACCTCAGGTCATGTACAGACCTCAGGTCATGTACAAACCTCAGGTCATGTACAGACCTCAGGTCATGTACCAACCTCAGGTCATGTACGAACCTCAGGTCATGTACAAACCTCAGGTCATGTACAGACCTCAGGTCATATACGAACCTCTGGTCATGTACGAACCTCATGTCATGTACAGACCTCAGGTCATGTACAAACCTCAGGTCATGTACAGACCTCAGGTCAATACAAACCTCAGGTCATGTACAGACCTCAGGTCAATACAAACCTCAGGTCATGTACAGACCTCAGGTCATGTACAGACCTCAGGTCATGTACAAACCTCAGGTCATGTACAGACCTCAGGTCATGTACCAACCTCAGGTCATGTACGAACCTCAGGTCATGTACAGACCTCAGGTCATGTACAGACCTCTGGTCATGTACCAACCTCAGGTCATGTACGAACCTCTGGTCATGTACAAACCTCAGGTCATGTACAGACCTCAGGTCATGTACGAACCTCTGGTTATGTACGAACCTCAGGTCATGTACAGACCTCTGGTCATGTACGAACCTCAGGTCATGTACAGACCTCAGGTCAATACAAACCTCAGGTCATCTACAAAACTTGGGTCATAAACAGACCTCAGGTCATGTACAAACCTCGGGTCAAATGAGTTGAAAGATCCCTGAAGTGTAACTTGGAATAAACTATAGCTTGGTATTTGAACTCCGTGAAAACAAGTTGTAAAAATGAATATTTTGTTTTTGTCTCCATGTTTTTCTCTTCAGTAGCTGACTAAACTTTGACACAATTTAATCGAGTATCTGATGGGGCTTTTATATTGTCATTTCCTTGTTGGATCTGTTAATTTCTGTGATGTGAACACATAGCTGTAGATGGTGTAGTACTTGAGTAGCATACCTGTCAAGTTCCAGCAGAGAAATACAAATAAAGGTGAAAGTTCAGGTTGTCCTCTAAAATCTCCGATATAAAGCTCTAGTTGGTGAATTATTCTACTGACTTGAGCTAGTCTCTGTGTCATAATGATCATACAATGAACTGTAACTTTAAGGGGACTAACACGCTCTGTAAAGAAAATACGGAGAATCCAACAAAATGATCATGATGTTCTCTTGACTCCGAGAGGGAAGGCCTTGTGTATCACCAAGAGGGAAGGGCTTGTGTATCACCAAGAGGGAAGGCCTTGTGTATCACGGAGTGGGAAGGCCTTGTGTATCACCGAGTGGGAAGGCCTTGTGTATTACTGAGTGGGAAGGCCTTGTGTATCACAAATAGGGAAGGCCTTGTGAATTTAGGAGGGAAGGCCTTGTGTATTACTGAGTGGAAAGGCCTTGTGTATTACTGAGTGGGAAGGCCTTGTGTATTACTGAGTGGGAAGGCCTTGTGTATTACTGAGTGGGAAGGCCTTGTGTATTACCGAGAGGGAGGGCCTTGTGTATCACCAAAAGGGAATGCCTTGTGTATTACCGAGTGGGAAGGCCTTGTGTATCACCGAGTGGGAAGGCCTTGTGTATCACCGAGAGGGAAGGACTTGTGTATCACTGAGTGGGAAGGCCTTGTGTATCACCGAGAGGGAAGGCCTTGTGTATTACCGAGAGGGAGGGTCTTGTGTATCACCAAAAGGGAATGCCTTGTGTATCACCGAGTGGGAAGGCCTTGTGTATCACCGAGTGGGAAGGCCTTGTGTATCACCGAGAGGGAAGGACTTGTGTATCACTGAGTGGGAAGGCCTTGTGTATCACCGAGAGGGAAGGCCTTGTGTATTACCGAGAGGTAAGGCCTTGTGTATTACTGAGTGGGAAGGCCTTGTGTATTACCGAGTGGGAAGGCCTTGTGTATCACCGAGAGGGAAGGCCTTGTGTATTACCGAGAGGGAAGGCCTTGTGTATCACCGAGAGGGAAGGCCTTGTGTATCACCAAGATGGAAGGGCTTGTGTATTACTGAGAGGGAAGGCCTTGTGTATCACCGAGAGGGAAGGCCTTGTGTATTACTGAGTAGAAAGGGCTTGTGTATCACCGAGAGGGATGGGCTTGTTTATTTCCGAGAGGGAAGGCCTTGTTTATCTCCCGAGAGGGAAGGCCTTGTGTATCACCGAGAGGGAAGAGCAGAAAAAATGTTAATATCATGCATCGCTTCAATTTTTTTAGGAACTGGAGAGTCTGGAAAGAGTACATTCATCAAACAGATGAGAATTATCCATGGAACTGGCTACTCCGAGGAGGACAAACGTGGCTTCATCAAGATTGTCTACCAGAACATCTTTATGGCCATGCATTCAATGATTAGGGCAATGGACACCATCAAGATCGCGTTTGAAGTAGCAGATAATGAGGTCAGTCAAAGTGAATTCAAATTTCATTAATTTAGCTTATTCTACATATGATTTTCGTTTTGAAATAAATGATATTAGGTCTTGTTAGGTCAGTTTTATTATCAGACTAAAAGCCTAGGCCTGAATTGATTGTGGAAAAACAACATAATTATAGTACCGAGTTAGAATAGGGAATAGAAATAGAACACGATGATGTATATAGCTGGTTATTTTATGATATTTACGCTCTCTAAGGTACATGTCATTCATTAAGATATGAGAGGATTGTTTTTAAATGTTGTAAAAATTCTGTGAAAGTCACCAGCTATATGGTAACATATCTATTGGATAAGTGTAAAATGGCTGAAGTAAAACGGAGTGTAATTTACAAAAGATAAAAAAAAAATTCCTGAAATTATTTGTAATGTTTACTTTAGATACCTGTAGGACTCGATTTGTTTGTTGATGATTTTTGGAAACAATGACAAGGTGATAGAATGAATTTCCAAAGAAAAAGGACAGAGGAACCGTCTTATTGTTTATGTATAAATCCTATTGAAAGAAACATATGAAAAATACTTATTTTATTTGTCTGCTTCGTTAACCATTAATCTTGAGAGAAGCTTGTTGTAAAATTGTTTTATTTAATGAAATCCTTGGTTCCATTTTATCTGATTTATTATCACACTTTACAGGAGAATGCCTCGATGATCAGACAGGTTGACTACGAGACTGTAACCACACTGGACTCTCAGTCTGTTGAAGCGATTCAGTCATTGTGGGCTGATGCTGGCATACAGGAGTGCTACGACAGGCGGAGAGAGTACCAACTCACAGACTCTGCTAAATAGTAAGTTTTTATTTAACTGCTTAAAGAGTTCCATAGAAGCCAGTGTGATGTAAAGGGATTGTAAGAGACAATACGCTTTCAAGATCTGGTTCAAAGAGAATTTTTAAAGCATAGTGTCTTTATGAATACTCTAGAGAATGAACAAATCAAAACTTTACATTATGGAAGTGACATGGTCCAAAAATACACAGAGAACTCCCCACTGAAATATGCGGTTATATGTTTAAGTTCATCATTTATTGCAGATTGAAACATTTTGAAAAGAAAGATGTTTATATCACCAGTTTTCCTTGGCGAAATACTCCTAGTAGAAAGCATAGGTCTATAAAAGAACAGTTTAAATTGAAGCTTTCCCTATTTGATAAAGTAACTGTACAGTAAATCCCTGAAGTTTCAATAATATATAGTTACAATCAGCAGTTCAAACTTATTTCAAGAATTAGTGATTCGGATTGCTGCGATCCAGTTATTTTGTGAGAATTTTTTTTTTGTGCATTAGGAGAATTGGTCAGAACTTCAAAAATATTGACATTCATTTCAGTCTTATATACCTTTCATTATGTTCAATAACACCATAGTTTACATATCTTAAGAACTTCCTAAACATGTCATAATTGATGTTAGAATTTGTGAACACCATACATAACATATTAGTGATACCTGTTTTTTCGATAGTTTCTCATTTTTCTTTTTAAAGTAAATTTTGCATGTGTGGACACTTAATTTGAAGAAGACAAAGTGGGATGGTGAGACGTAAAATATCATTTAATTTTGATTTTAACTTTTAGTGTCCTGGTATGAACAGTAAACAAGTTACAGTTAAAAGTTTGTCAATTTTTATCAGGGCTCTTACACCCCATTTTGGGACTGGGGCCCGGGGTCCTTAGAATTGGGAAAGATAGCGGTGTTTTCCTTAGAATTGGGAAAACTTGGGGTCTAAATTGGGAAAAAAGATACTATTTTGCATTGGGAATCGGCCCCAAATCTGGCAAATCGAGAGCCCTGGTTATACATAGACAGGATTTGAAACAATTTACACAGATATCAATATACTATGTTTTTTTATTAGTTACTTAGATGATGTGGACAGGATTGCGGCACCAAACTATCTACCCACATTGCAAGACATCTTACGTGTGAGGGTGCCCACAACTGGAATTATAGAGTATCCTTTTGATCTGGACAGTATAATATTTAGGTAAGTAAGCATTCACATCACAAAGACACAATGCTTGACCATATAACTGGTTCAGAGAGACACAATGCTTGACCATATAACTGGTTCAGAGAGACAAAATGCTTGACCATATATCTGGTTCAGAGAGACACAATGCTTGACTATATAACTGGTTCAGAGAGACACAACGCTTGACCATATAACTGGTTCAGAGAGACACAATGCTTGACCATATAACTGGTTCAGTGAGACACAATGCTTGACCATATAACTGGTTCATTGAGACACATTGCTTGACCATATAACTGGTTCAGTGAGACACAATGCTTGACCATGTATCTGGTTCAGTGAGACACAATGCTTGACCATATAACTGGTTCAAAGACACAATGCTTGACCATATAACTGGTTTAGAGAGACACAATGCTTGACCATATAACTGGTTCAGAGAGACACAATGCTTGACCATATAACTGGTTCAGAGAGACAAAATGCTTGACTATATAACTGGTTCAGAGAGACACAATGCTTGACCATATAACTGGTTCAGAGAGACACAATGCTTGACCATATAACTGGTTCAGTGAGACAATGCTTGACCATGTATCTGGTTCAGTGAGACACAATGCTTGACCATATATCTGGTTCAGAGAGACACAATGCTTGACTATATAACTGGTTCAGAGAGACACAATGCTTGACCATATAACTGGTTCAGTGAGACACAATGCTTGACCATATAACTGGTTCATTGAGACACATTGCTTGACCATATAACTGGTTCAGTGAGACACAATGCTTGACCATGTATCTGGTTCAGTGAGACACAATGCTTGACCATATAACTGGTTCAAAGACACAATGCTTGACCATATAACTGGTTTAGAGAGACCCAATGCTTGACCATATAACTGGTTCAGAGAGACGCAATGCTTGACCATATAATTGGTACTAACAGATATGATGCTTGACCAGATACCTAAACATGAACTGGTACAGAGAATTGTTTATACAATGATAAATGTATATCACCTATAGGAAGTGTGTCTCCCATTAGAAAGTGTGTCCCATAAGGAAGTGTGTCTCCCATTAGAAAGTGTGTCCCATAAGGAAGTGTGTCTCCCATTAGGAAGTGTGTCTCCCATTAGGAAGTGAGTCCCATAAGGAAGTGTGTCTCCCATTAGGAAGTGTGTCTCACATTAGGAAGTGTGTCTCCCATTATGAAGTTTGTCTCTCATTAGGAAGTGTGTCTCCCATTAGGAAGTGTGTCTCACATTAGGAAGTGTGTCTCCCATTAGAAAGTGTGTCCCATAAGGAAGTGTCTCCCATTAGGAAGTGTGTCTCCCATTAGGAAGTGTGTCTCCCATTAGAAAGTGTGTCCCATAAGGAAGTGTGTCCCATAAGGAAGTGTCTCCCATTAGGAAGTGTGTCTCCCATTAGAAAGTGTGTCCCATAAGGAAGTGTGTCTCCCATTAGGAAGTGTCTCCCATTAGGAAGTGTGTCTCCCATAAGAAAGTGTGTCTCCCATTTCGAAGGATACTGTAGAGGTCTTGTTTCCAAATATGATCTTTTTTCCTTCCAGAATGGTGGATGTGGGAGGACAGAGGTCTGAACGGCGCAAATGGATCCACTGTTTTGAAAATGTCACGTCCATCATGTTTCTTGTAGCCTTAAGTGAATATGACCAGGTTCTTGTGGAATCTGATAATGAGGTAAGTGATGGTATGACAACTGGATTGGTAACACTGTTTTAAAGAAAGGCTTAGAATTGCATTGGATTAAACAAAAAAGGCTGGGACATTGATCTGAATATTTAATGAGGAATTGTTTGCATTTTCAGTTTTAATTACTTTGACAGGAACTTGTTGGGGGAAAAGTTAATTGTGTCCAAGTTGAGTATCATACCTCCATGATTAGTATCAGTGAAAAAGCCTTTATTTGTGTATGGTTTATCTCCCTTCAACTGTGTTTTTTTATTGGCACAAACATATCTATATTTAATTGGTAATTGGATTGAATATTGTGCTAAAAAAACACTAAAAAGGACATTTAGTCAAAAGGGAGAAAATAGTGAAATATTGTCAAATGGAAATTTTTGACTATAATATTGATAAAATGATGATATGGTGTTTTTTTGTTGTTGCTTTTTTTAGAATCGAATGGAGGAATCGAAGGCTTTGTTTAGGACTATAATTACATACCCCTGGTTCCAGAACTCCTCCGTCATCCTCTTTCTCAACAAAAAAGACCTACTGGAGGAGAAGATTATGCACTCGCACCTCGTAGACTATTTTCCAGAATTTGATGGTAGGTTGTGGCTTATCTGTCGCACGTCTGTTAACCCAGTTATGTCTGTCAACCCATCTGTGACATTTATATTATGTCTGCCCACCTGTAATATGTCTACATGTCTAAAAAATGTCTGTCTACCCATCTGTTAAATGTCTACACATCTATAATATGTCTACCAATATGTGATATGTCTACACATCTGTTATATGTCTACACATCTGTAATGTCTACACATCTGTAATGTCTACACATCTGTTATATGTCTACACATCTGTAATATGTCTACACATCTGTTATATGTCTACACATCTGTAATGTCTACACATCTGTTATATGTCTATACATCTGTAATATGTCTATACATCTGTTATATGTCTGCACATCTGTAATGTCTACACATCTGTAATGTCTACACATCTGTTATATGTCTACACATCTGTATACACATCTGTAATGTCTACACATCTGTTATATGTCTACACATCTCTAATGTCTACACATTTGTTATATGTCTACACATCTGTAATGTCTACACATCTGTTATATGTCTACACATCTGTAATGTCTACACATCTGTTTTATGTCTACACATCTGTAATGTCTACACATCTACACATCTGTGATATGTCTATACATCTGTTATATGTCTACACATCTGTAATGTCTACACATCTGTAATGTCTACTTATCTGTTATATGTCTACACATCTGTTATATGTCTACACATCTGTTATATGTCTACACATCTGTAATGTCTACACATCTACACATCTGTTATATGTCTACACATCTGTAATGTCTACACATGTGTAATGTCTACACATCTGTAATATGTCTACACATCTGTTATATGTCTATACATCTGTAATGTCTACACATCTGTTATATGTCTACACATCTGTTATATGTCTACACATCTGTAATGTCTACACATCTGTTATATGTCTACACATCTGTAATATGTCTGCACATCTGTAATGTCTACACATCTGTTATATGTCTACATATCTGTTACATGTCTACACATCTATTGCATAGCTGATCTATTCTGTGTATTGTGTTACAGGGCCAAAGAAGGATGCTCAGCTGGCTCGTGAGTTTATATTACGGATGTTTGTGGATTTAAATCCTGATCCAGACAAGATAATTTATTCACATTTTACGTGTGCAACAGGTGAGATGATTTTGTAATACCCTGTTAATGTACAGTTGTCCCTAAAAAGTGCTGAATGGGTTCACATTGTTTTTATTCAAGTCTAACTGTGTTTTATTACCTCTACATCTGTATATTCTGTAAAGCACATTTAAACATCTCAAATTGAATAATATGTTGATTAAACTCCTTCAAAATTTATAACTTTTTGGAGAACTGAAAAAAAATCTGGAGGTGTTCTCAGAACCTTACAGAGATTATGGTGAATTCCTATGTAATAAACAGAGTAAACTTTCTCTCAATTTGTCTATGTTCATGTTTCAGATACTGAAAACATTAGGTTTGTGTTTGCGGCTGTGAAGGATACCATTCTGCAGCTAAATCTAAAGGAATACAATTTAGTGTGAGCAGGTCAAAGGTCAGGTACGCCCACCTGCATAGACAGTCCATTGGTGTACATTAACAAGGGGAGGAAACTGGTCTGGTGACCTTTGACCCCAGTCAGTAACCTCTGACCTCATCCAATTACCATCTCTGACACGTGGCCTTGGCTTGATCGACATTGAACACACATTTGTTACGAGCTGGTCCATTGGTTGATTGTGGGCCGGATGATCGTCAAGCTGGTGTTGTAACAGCCGGTTTTATCTTGAACCGGTTTTATTAACAATTCAAAAGTCGGTTTAATTTAAAACGGTTTTATACATATATATACATACATATATATATATATATATACACATTTAAAAGAAAACTGGTTTTTTATGGTGATGTGAGCCAGCATAGTCTGGCTCAGTGCTGCATACCAGTCCGTATTGTCCACATGGCTTTTTCTCCGTGTGGTTTGGAGAGGACAACCATTGGAGAGAAGCACTAGAAGATCTTGGGCTTAAAGAGTGTATTGGTGTCTGAATTCAGCTACATGTGGTGGATCGCCATTTAAATATAAGGTGGTCATTTTGAATGCGTGCTAGAAATTAAAAAAAATCTTTTTATTTAAAAAAAACCTGTGATTGTTGTGACAATTGTTGACGGTTTTGTCGAGTGACCAGTATATAGAACCAACGGTCAACGGCTGGACTTTGTCAAATGACAAGTATATAGAACCAGCGGTTAACGGCTGGACTTTGTCAAATGACCAGTATATAGGACCAGTGGTCAACGGCTGGACTTGTCAAATGACCAGTATATAGGACCAGCGGTCAACGGCTGGACTTTGTCAAATGACCAGTATACAGGACCAGCGGTCAACGGCTGGACTTTGTCAAATGACCAGTATACAGGACCAGCGGTCAACGACTGGACTTTGTCAAATGACCAGTATACAGGACCAGCGGTCAACGGCTGGACTTTGTCAAATGACCAGTATACAGGACCAGCGGTCAACGGCTGGACTTTGTCAAATGACCAGTATACAGGACCAGCGGTCAACAGCTGGACTTTGTCAAATGACCAGTATATAGGACCAGCGGTCAGCGGCTGGACTTCCAACACCAACAGTTCAACACTCGTCAGTCTGTCTTGCAGGAGATTTCATGTGGATATCATACTGAATGAATTTGTGAGGAGAACAAAGTTTGATGGTTGGAAAGATCTGAATAGCTGATTGTTACAAACATTTCATTCTTGTTCAGTTGGACATAACAATTTTAAACTGAACTGAGAGAGAAATCATTGGAGAGAGGTTTGGAGATTTTTTCTAGAAGGACATCAACAGTTTCACAATTTTAAATACAAGATATATATCGTTTTACTAGCCAACAGTGTTTAGATGTCTGATTCCTAAAGCTGTTTGGCAAATTTTACTGTAGTCAAAGATGTCTGGTTTCTCTCAGTACCGCTGTCGTATAACATAAAACATTGGGTCCCAGTCGTGCACTATGGTATTTGTGGAGTGATAGGTGCAGAAAGTATGTTCGTTTGAATCAACACACTGCTGGGGTTGTAAGAGCTACCAGGATGGAAGTTCTGTGCCACTTTCGTTTGTTCTTTGATATCTGAGTGCACTTGCTACTGTTGACTTTTGATAGGAAACTTTCATTTCTTGTAGTTTTATAAAATACAGAACTTGTTGTATTGGTCCAGCAAATTTGCAACAAAATTACTGCAGGAAAATATGACAGTAGTGGCCTTAGAATAACAAGAGGTTCGTGGGTAAAAATTGACCTACTTAGAAATCACTATGAAGGTCACTGGTTTAAATTGACCCATTGACCTACTTAGAGATCACTATGAAGTTCACTGGTTTGAATTGACCCATTGACCTACTTAGAGATCACTATGAAGTTCACTGGTTTAAATTGACCCATTGACCTATTAGAGATCACTATGAAGGTCACTGGTTTAAATTGACCCATTGACCTACTTGGAGATCACTATGAAGTTCACTGGTTTAAATTGACCTACTTAGAGATCACTACGAAGTTCACTGGTTTAAATTGACCTACTTAGAGATCACTACGAAGTTCACTGGTTTAAATTGACCTACTTAGAGATCACTTTGAAGTTCACTGGTTTAAATGGACCCATTTTCATGATTTACATGGAGATCACCATGCTTTCATAGCTTTGATTGACAAAAATGTGCATCTGACTACCAAGAAAGTCGGTTGTAAACAAATCCAATTAATTAGGAATCAAATTTGTATGGTTACAGTATTTACAAATTGGTAATGTTTATTTTAATGGGTTTCTTGTTTGTTTTTGCATAAAAATAAGGCAAAGTTCGTGATAAATAAATACTCTTGTTAAGCTAAGGTGGCTTAGATGAACTGACCATACAAGGACTGGCTGACCACTGCAAGATTGTGTGGAGCTGAGTGTTCACTGACCTGGGCAGCAGTGGAGCCGGTGTTAAAAGCAACATGACTCCCCTACCACAAGGTTGAATGCCCGATGTACACTTTCCTGGCGGGAAATGTGTCGTGTCATTTGTATGTAATGGTATGTGTGTGCATAGTGCATGTAATTTATTAACACCTGTGACTTAAGCAAATCCTTCGCAAGTCTCCCTTTGCTAGCCCTGGACAGTCCAGGTACCACAAATGGTGTAACCAATTCCAAAGGAAAGATCTAAACGAGTTGGAGTCGTTGGTGAGACCATGGTGACTGGGTGGAGAGAGAGACGTGTGTTTGCATTGTAGTATTTACTACAGTTCTGATGGAATCCTTTTTCCTCTGTAAAACTGTCTTGTAGTAAAATAACAGTGACATTCTTCACCAATGTCCTTACATGCTAGGTTACTGTTTCACTGGCCGAGAGATAGGATTTTTATAGTTTTTTTTATATATTGGTTTTGTAATGCTTGAGACTGAGCTAGGGTGATATAGTTAGTTTATATGTATGTATACATAGCTAAACGTACGTATATCTATGTATATATATGTGTAATATATATATATATATGTGTATAGTGTGTGTGTGTATACAAATAGATTTCCTGGAGGCACATGGTTGGTCAGCCCATAGGTTTAGACCTTTAAAAATCTCAAAATGAACATATTTGGTTAACAATATTTATCATGTTTTCAATTTATGTAAATAATTTTGAGATATGCTATCAACAGAATCATGGTTTCTAAGGTTTGAGATTAACACCTGAAGGAAACTTGGAGGCTGACTTGCTGCGATGCCAATAGTAATGATCTGAGGTATGGATGATGTGTATGTGTGTGGAAAGTTGAACTTGAGGGTGTATATACGAAGGTGTGTGTGTGTGCGTGTGCGTGCATGCGTGCGTGTGTGTGTGTGTGTGTGTGTGTGTGTGTGAAAAAGATCTGTCCGCATTTTATTGACACACCTAGCAAGTGAGAAGGACAAAAGGAAACCAGGAGTCAAATCACATTTAGTGATAAAGGGAAGCAACTCTTGTTGTCTGACTTGCTTGCTTCTACTTTGATGTGGTAGTTTTACAGCATACACAGACAAGGGGGATAACTCCTGTTAACAAGGGTAGATATACACAAGTCTCTGTACGCAATTACTTTTATCATGTAGTCCCATAAATGTTTGTAAAGGGACTGCGATGGACAGGGTTTCATGATTTTTATTGAATACAAATGTGAAAATGTGCTAATCCCAATATGAAACAGTTGGTTGTTTTTGTGATTTAGACCATCGAGTAGATTCAGTCATAGTAATGCAGATTTGGGCTCAGTTTGTTGAACAGATGGTAGATTTTGTGCAATTTTCATTTCACTGATGCAAGAAGTATACTTCAGATAGGGGAAGTAACTGGGTGCATTCTTTGAATGACTTTTTGCATCAGGATGGGAATTTCCAAATTGTGAAAATGATTACATTGCTTTCAATCTTTTGATGTTATTAAATAACGTGTTGAAAGATTGGAGACATACTATGATAAAGAATGTTTCTGGGGTTTAGAAAGAAATCAGTCCACCACTACGCAACGTCTCAAATTCACAACTCGATACAAGATTGTCGCAGCTAAAGAGTAATCTGTTGAGTGCTAGGTATTTACTGTGTTAACAAGGGTTGTGTTTACAGAGTCTCGCATGAAAATTTTTATTATCATTTATATATATATATATAAATATAAATATATATATATATATATTTAATAGCACTAACTGATGTCTGCCAGTGTTGCCATAGTAGCAGTACGGTCACATTTCATTTCTGTTCTCATTTTATTGCAATACTTGAGCTGTACAGAAGTGATGACTAAAATGGAATTATCTTCAATCTTTTTGTCGTTGTTCACATTCTCAAAGATTCTCAAAAGGCATTTTATGACTGATGCAATTTTTCAGTGCTCCAAGGCCAATAAAACACAATTTATAGACCCAAGTTCTCAGGTCTAGATGACCCAGGTAAAATTATGTACAAGAAATACTAATTTTGTTATTTTCAGTGTTTATGGTGAATTTGTTTTCTCATCTCAGAAAATTGATGACTTTTTGTGTTATCTGGTAGAAGAGAAGAGGTTTGTAGGGTTTATTATATATCTGTGAACAGCCAGGGTTATTTTGATGCAGGTCTCTTTGTAGTAGGTACTTCACCGAACACCATACAAGAGGTCAGTTGTATGTCATCCAGACCAATTAGGGTAAAATGTTGTCCAGCAGTACAGACTGGCGCATTTCTCAGCTTCCTGTGAAACATAAATTGCCAGAGGTTGGGAGTGTCAAACGCCCCCAAATAAGTTTAAAAAAACAATGATGTTGCTAAGTGTGTGGAGTTAAAAAAAATCAAGTAATGTCCTCTGAAATCTTGACCGGTCTGTTTCAGGACTTTTTGTTGATTTTAAAAAACGATTATATTGTGATAATGCCTTTTTTTTCCTTTTTTTTTTTTTGTTTTTTTTTTTTTTGTTTTTTAGATAATATTGTAACATGTAGTATGAAATTATGAACAAACAGAATATAGTTCTGAATCATCAACAAATGTTTTTATATTAAAAATGTATTGTACCAATGTCACCTAAATCCTGCATTGATTTCATATTATATTTTGATTTGAAAATGATTTTGAACCTACGGGAAGGGTGAGGTGAAATGTTGCTGTAATAGGACTGAGAAGGATACAGGAAGTTGAGGTGAGATACAGAATGTATTCTATAGTAGGACTTGGGTGTTGAGAACATTATATCTGGGAATTCATTCAGTTATGTTCAGCAGTCTCAAATTGATACAAATAGAAAGTTCTGAAGTAGGGTTTTAAGTTTGCCTTGTGGAAGCATGGAAAAGTCTGCATTTATCTCTGTTTTATCGGGCCTTAGTGACAGCTTCTGACATGACAGACTGGACACTAATTCAGGGCTCTGCACAAACAGGTGTAAGGTGTAATAGATTGATAGACAGACTGGACACTAATTCAGGGCTCTGCACAAACAGGTGTAAGGTGTAATAGATTGATAGACTGTACACTAATTCAGGGCTCTGCACAAACAGGTGTAAGGTGTAATAGATTGATAGACAGACTGGACACTAATTCAGGGCTCTGCACAAACAGGTATAGGGTGTAATAGATTGACATTGTTCTTGGCTCTTGTATGTTGGCGCTGACAGCTCCATGGATAGGCGTCCAAAACAAATCCCTTCTTTAATTCATATAAAAACTGAAGGGGAGACAACCTAAAAAGGGGAGTCTAGTGTCTGATACCTAGTTTAATTCTTGATTTTGAGACAACTCAAAGAGTACACTTTATTTAATCTAGGATAAAACCTGAAGGGGAGACAACCCATAAAGTTGTTCATTATTATCGTGATTCTTACAACCAATTAAGTATTTTGGTTACTACACAACACTACAGTTATTTGAATGTGGTTTGATAGTTCAATCAGTCAATAAGAATTGTTCATATTTATACAGCAGAACAGATTCAGTGATATAAGATCAATCATGTATATTTAAACATATTTCATTTCTCTTAGAAAATGATTAATAAACTTTGTCAGATTACATTAAATTTCATTTGGTAGTTAATGTTACAACAGTGGTGTATATCATTAGCCATAGCTGTGTATTATTATACATGTCTCTCTGGATATTCTCATGGCATATTTTCTTTGAAGATTTTGATAATTTAAGAGTAAATATTAATGTCGCTGTCTGTTGTGTGATGTGATGATGTCATATCCGTCCCAGACAAAGACTTGGTCTTCATGTAGAATTATCTCCCCTTGATCTGTTTCCAGTTTTGTTAACTTTATTTGTAGAAGTTTTATACCAGTTATACACATATTTAATATGAATTTTATTATATAACACGTTTTTTCTCTACTTGTTTACCTTCCTAAAATAATAAGACTGATCCGTTTGATGTATTCTTGGAACTGAGACAAGCTCGGACAATTATACCCTAAAAATCATCATTTTTTTGCTTAACGGCAGATTTTCTTTCTTAATAAAATGTATTTTATTGTTAAAAAGTTCAAAGGAAATTTTTTGAACATTACCACAAATACTGTTCATTTCATATTTAATTTACATTTGAATGTTTATTAGTTACAATAGCTTCATCAGATTCAGGGCTTTGATTTGTAATCTATTGGAATACAATGGGGAGCAGATCTTGGCTATGACTCCCTCGGGAGCCTTGGTACTCCCTCCTCTTGGTTCAGCTTATTTTGATGTTTAGGTAGGAGAACTTTTGTAGAATTTGTATATTTGCCATGGTAACCAGATTGAATGTGCTTGAGCTTACAGTTTTCACCAGGTAAATGTCACAGTGGGCGGGGCGTCAATCATTTGGGGCCAATCACAGCGTTTTAATTGTATGACCCATCTTTCTGACCAAGCTTTATTTTCAATTTGAAAATGAGAAAATTTTGTAACTTTAAACCTTTGTCTGTGCCAATTTACTTGACAAGATAGAATTGCCTGCATGTCTATATATATACACTTATATATATTGAACAGTGATAAAGGGTATTTCTAAAGGAATACTGATAATTCAAGTGGTGATTCCTTTTTCACTTTGTTTTTTAAAGTCCTAAACTTCAGAACAACTTCAGTAATAGGAATATCCCATTGATTTTCTGTGTCACTGACACACTATGTCTACGCCCTGCAGATTTCCTGTGTCACTGACACACTGTATGTCCATGCCCTGCAGATTTCCTGTGTCACTGACACACTGTATGTCTACGCCCTGCAGGCTTCTGGTGTCACTGACACACTGTATGTCTACGCCCTGCAGACTTCTGGTGTCACAGACACACTGTATGTCTACGCCCTGCAGACTTCTGGTGTCACTGACACACTGTATGTCTACGCCCTGCAGACTTCTGGTGTCACAGACACACTGTATGTCTATGCTCTGCAGATTTCTGGTGTCACTGACACACTGTATGTCTACGCCCTGCAGACTTCTGTTGTCACTGACACACTGTATGTCCATGCCCTGCAGATTTCCTGTGTCACTGACACACTGTATGTCCACGCCCTGCAGATTTCCTGTGTCACTGACACACTGTATGTCCACGCCCTGCAGACTTCCTGTGTAATAGACATGCTGTATGTCTGTGTCCTTTGGACTTCTTGTGTAACGGACACACTTTGTCTGTCCTGCTGACTTCCTGTGTATCAAACACATTGTATGTCTGTGTCCATCAGACTTACTGTGTCACTGACTTACTGTATGTCCATGTCCTTTTGACTGGATGTGTAATGGAAATTGTATTTCTGTGTCATTTGGACTTCCTGTGTCACTGATACACTGTATGTCTGGGTCCTGCAGTTTTCCTGTGTAACCGACATTCTGTATGTCCAGTCCTTTGGACTTCCTGTGTAACAGACTCACTGTTTGTCTGTGTCCCTCAGATTTCCTGTGTCACTGACACTTTATGTCTGTGTCCTTTAGACTTCCTGTGTCACTAACACTTAATGTCTGTGTCCTATAGACTTCCTGTGTCACTGACACTTTATGTCTGTGTCCTATAGACTTCCTGTGTCGCTGACACTTAATGTCTGTGTCCTGTAGGTTTTACTGACTCACAAATTTTCTTATGATACCATGAAAAAGACTTATTCACTCCAGTCGCGAAACATAGCACATACAGTTAACCTATGATACCAAGAAGGAGACTTATTCACTCCAGTCGCTAAACATAGCACATACAGTTAATTTATGATATCATGAAGTAGACTTATTCACCCCAGTCGCTAAACATAACACATACAGTTAACTTATGATACCATGAACGAGACTTATTCACTCCAGTCGCTAAACATAGCACATACAGTTAACTTATGATACCGTGAAAAAGACTTATTCCCTCCAGTCGCTAAACATAACACA